TTTTTCTTCCTCTCTCTCTACTACTAGGGTTTTATTTTTTTTTGGTGTTGTTTTTTCACAAATTTAGGTAGAGTTGGGAGTACCAAGTGAGGAAAGGAGGATCAGGGAGTACCTGAAGAAGAGATCAAGAGAGGAGGGAAATTAAAAAAGAGGGCATTTTTGGGTAAGAATTAAATTAAGATTAAGAGGGAAGAGGGGTAAAAATTGGAACTTTTTAAAGGAAAAAATATGGGAAGAGGAAGAGTGGAGCTGAAGAGGATAGAGAACAAGATAAACAGGCAGGTGACATTTGCAAAGAGAAGAAATGGGCTTCTCAAGAAGGCTTATGAACTCTCTGTTCTTTGTGATGCTGAAGTTGCTCTCATCATCTTCTCCAACCGTGGCAAGCTCTATGAGTTTTGTAGCACTTCCAAGTAAATTTCTTCTCTCTCTAGCTCATCTCGTTCTCAAATCCTTTTTTGTTTTTTCATTCGATTGGTGGAACCGAAACGGAGTGTGGGTTTTGATCCGATGGATGATCTTATCGTTCTAGGGTTTCCATTTTTTATTGCTGCCCAAGTTAGGGATGGATGGATGGATAGGTCCCTTTTGAGCTTGCTTTTTTCCTTTTTTTTTTTTTGGGTTTATGAGGAATTTTCCAATAAATCAAACAAAAACTTTTTTTTTGTTACTTTGTAATATTAGAAAAAATCTTCCTTCCGTATGATCTTCTATTCTCTTCTGTTCTTCAAAATTAAACTTGTAAATATATACTACTAGTCTTTTTTATTTTAATTTTCAAAATCTAAAACAAATTTTGGAAACTCAAAACAAAAGGAAAAGGAAAAAAGAGTTTAAATGTGTTTTTTTAAAATGTGAAAATATATTAAGAAATTGTTACCCAAGCGGACTTTAGTATTTAAGCTTTTAAGGTCTGTGATTTGAGCTTTTTATAACGTTGTTTTCAAACCATTATTCATTATTACGGAGAATCGATGTCTCTCTCTTTCATGGATACTTAGACTATGGTCTTAAACTTCTGATAAGAACATAAAAAAAAGAGGTTATGGGAAAAGTTTTGAGATATTAATTATCGTTTCTTCTTAGTTTGATATATCGTAATATAACACACTCTATGTTATGTTGTTTCTTGGCTCCCAGCATGCTCAAAACGCTCGAACGCTACCAAAAATGTAGTTATGGAGCGGTGGAGGTCACGAAACCGGCCAAAGAACTCGAGGTGAACCCGTCGAGATTACATCAATTATTGAGAATATATTAAATGATTAAATTTATCGTAATCTTAATATAATAGTTTGGAATTCTAGATTTGAAGTAACTATGGGGTTATTTTTTTAATTAATTTTTACAGAGCAGCTATAGAGAATACTTGAAGCTGAAGTCGCGGTTTGAGTCTCTACAACGAACTCAGAGGTAACTAGATATATATTTGTATTTTTTATATAATATATTTTTATTGAATTATAAAAGTTAATTAACGAGATTGACATGTTTAATCTTATTTTTATTTTTTAGAGCAACAAATTAAACATTCGATCTCAAGATGAGTAAATATTGTTGAGACCTATGCTCATGTTGATAAAATTTACGAACTTATCTAAAAATATATAATTAGATTAATATAAATATATATACAAGTAAAAACTATTAGTTACATTTTAATACTAAAGTTTTGTCCAAACATTATTCAGTCACAAACTTACTATATGGAATATATAGAGTTAAAGTTCCAAACTTTAATTATTGGAAGAAACTAAAACCAAATAACTAAAGACATATTTGATATATAATTTATTTTTTAGTCGCCTTCCTTTAAACTTGTTTATTATTTATTTATTTTTTGTTTCATTAAGCACTTGTAAGTTTAAAAAAAAAAAGCGATAAAAAATCACTTTTAACATTTGGTTTCATCGCGACGAAGCACTTTAAGTTCTTTTTAACTCTTTTTAAAAATACTAATATTACTTTAATTTCGAGAGAAGCTCTATTTTGAGCATTACAGAAGTGTGTTTACCGTGTCGACTGCAGAAAGCACTTTTAAGACATATGTTTTTGTGTTCTTTTGGTAGAAACCTTCTTGGTGAGGATTTGGGTCCATTGAACTCAAAGGAGCTTGAGCAGCTAGAGCGTCAGCTAGAGTCTTCTTTGAAGCAAGTTAGGTCCACTAAGGTACGTGTTTATCAAAATTAAATCTCAAAACCATAACTTTATGAATCAATTTTTTTTAATTGTCTCTTAGTCTTTCTGAGTATATTGTTAGAATTTGATTGTTAAGAGCTCGATTGGTATCTAATGTTTTTGTTTTATGTTTCTTCTCTTCTTTCGAAGCACTTCTAGAATCGTGTATGGATTAGGATAATACAGCTTGTTTATGTCAGTTCAATAACTTTTTAGAATTTTATTTACTCAACTAATTTTCTTTTATTACAATGTATGTTGAAAATGTTTTTGAATTTTAGCCAAATAATTTTCATAACTAGAAAAAGTAGCATTTGAAACAAAAAAATTTAACCAAGATCTTACAAAAGGTTAAACAAACAAAAACAAAGACAAAGTAATAGATAATAAGCTAATTTAATTTTTAAAAACAAAACACAAACATTACCCAACATGACCTTTAAGTTTCTTCTTTTCTTTTCTTAATTCAAATCACTTTTGTTTACAATAAAATTACATAGGGATATATCTATTTAATCGTATTTCTGTGATTTTTAAATCTTTGACTTCCCAATATATTTTGAAAAATAATCTTTCAAGTCTCTGGAGTATAGTTTTTGATAATATAAAAACGGGTGTTGAGCCACTTATCTTAATTTAATTTTTAGAAATGAGTAAATAGATGATTAAAGGACAAATGTTTTCACTTCCATTGTTGGATTGAGCCTTCCTCTAGTTCAAAAGCTTTCTTTTAACACATTTTAATCCAACTTCCAAAGATTAAAAGTAGTAATAAAAATGGCATAAAATGTTTTTTTTTCCTTACTCGTTTCCACATTCATCTCATTCCACCTTTGTTTCTCTCAAATTCAAAATAAATTTATGAGAAAAATATAATTTTAGCATGGAAAAAGTCAAATATAATAGTAAATAAATTTGTATGTTGAAGTTTATTTGCTTTCAGGAGAGTAGTTTCAGTTTTTTAGGGCACTTTTTTTGCAACACATAAATAAATTGTGCAAATATTTCTTTTATTTTCATATGTAAACTAAACTTCATTTCTGTATTATTCAACCCAAATATTTTATCTAAGCTTTTGTATCCTTATACCCTGTTTCATGTCTCTAATTTCCATTTTATTATTCGTTGTAATTTCTCACAAGAGGGTGTGGTGTATTTACAAATAGTTCTTCTTTTAATCTAATTCTTTTGCTTACCAGTGAATATTTGAAACATTGAATTAAAGAGAGAGAAATAACTATCATCATAAATAAAATGTTTGAACTTGTTGCTTACTTGTTTCTTAAATGTTATGAATTTGATTTTTTTAGTAGATAATCTAGCGTAATTAAGATAAGACATTATAAACAATTACGTAATCCTAAGCTTTGCTACTTTTATTTAACATTTCAGAGAATCGGAGTTTTCTCTCTCTCTCCATCTTCTTTAATCTTGTTAGGTCTTTAGTAGTTGTTTTGGCTCTGATCCCTTCATTCGGTTGGGTTTTTTAATCCCTTTGTGTTCTTTCAGTTTTCTAAGAGTGAGGATTCGAATTCACAACTTTCGATTGGAGATAGATGACTTAACCAATTGAGCTACGCTCCATTTGAAAAAAAAATTAATAGTCTTTATACTTCCGTTCCTTTTAGATTACCCCCACTTAACAATTTAAACCCAACATTAACCAGTCTTTTTTTTTTTGGTGAAGCAAACATTAATCAGTCAATTAAATAACAAAGTTAGGGTAGAATATAAATATAATTTTGAAACTAAGAAGAAACGACATGTAATTTTTATCTGCATATTTGGTCTTGTCCCTAACAGAATCCATGTGGGTGTGCTCTGTCTTAAAAGACAACCATTGAAGTTTTCACTTCAGACATACTCAGTACTTTGGATGTAGTTTTTGCTCTGCTTCTTCATAAATGGCCATTAACTTCCACCATTCTTCTCTGGTTTTTAACCAAAAGTTTTAAACCTATAAAGTAAAATACACTGTTAAATCCTTTTGGGAAATTTGGCTTTTGATCAACGAGTTCCTATATACTTTAGTATATAGATTGTACAAATAACTGGAATATAGAAATTTTTTGTTTGTGTGAAAAGTAAGCTTATAATTAGTATTTAGGTTGTAGGAGAAAATAGATTGTCAAAATTTAGGGTTTGTTTAGTATCTTATCCAATTTATTTATATATAAAAATATAATTGTATTTGGATTATGTGACCTAGATAGTAGAAAGTGAAGTGTTTGAAAACAACATTTAGATATTTTTAGTGTTTCATTTTCTAAAGTTGCTATCAAACACATTTTAGAAAGACAAGGATGATGTGAAATACAGCTCTTTTTTTTATATTTAATCTCTTGTTTTAAATTTCTCACTATATATTATCAACCAATCACATCCTTAGGTTTGTGTAACCTATAGTTTTATGATATGCAAAAGTTTAGCAGTATGTAGTTTGAGTTATGTGGCATGATGAATTAACAAGTTTTTGAGTTTTGTAGGCTAAATTAAGCAAATACATATACCAAATATAAGCCCGACCCGTAAGCCAAATGCCCATTTGAGCTTTCTAAGTTGTCTATGTGAAAAACAGATTTACGTAGTTCACGGAATTTACAAACTCATAATATGAGCTCACGTATCAAGACTAGACTCGAACTTCTTTTAACTTTAAAATACTTTTTGTTAGATCATCACTAAATCCAAAAGTTTAAGCTAATGAATTACAATAAATTTAATCATTTATCAACATTTAAACACTCTATTCCACTTGTTTGAACTTGGAAATTTGTACACGACGCAATGAGTGGTTAATTATCACTATTAAGTGGAGAGAAAATGACATTATGGAACCTCCTGCCTTGATATCGTATTTAAATCGTTATTGAACCCAAAGCTTAAGTTAATGCATCACGAAAAATTTAATTACTTATCGACCAGTTTGTTTTACATGGTGTGTTTAACAGAAACCTTTTTAGTGATGGATGAGATGTTTTTGTAGCTCATAATGTGTGTAATTAGCCAATTATTACCCAAATTCTGAAAAATATTGGAACTGGAAATTTTGCAGACTCAGTACATGCTGGACCAGCTGTCTGATCTTCAGAACAAGGTAGGCCTTGACATGATATCAAGTTTTAATGCTGAATTCAAATCATTATTATTATTATTGTTATTATTTGGAATTTTCATCGAATTAAATACTAAATGTTTTTTTTTCAAGTACAGGAACAAATGCTGATTGAAACCAACCGAGCTCTGACATTAAAGGTAAATAAACTAACTCTTTCTTTACACGTTAAAGCTCAATATTTCTGATTCTCTCAAACATTGGAAAAACAAAAAGAGGTATCCTTCAATGATAGATCAGAGCATGTGAAAAAGATCAACTTTATTATGGCATGATAATGCTTTTAAGGTATGATTGTGGGGGTGTTTACGTTGACGGGAACAATAGAATTTTTAGAGAGGAATGGTATAGTTTCTTGTTAGATTTTATGTATCTATTTGGACCTACGTTTCTAAGGATTTTTGTAATTATGCTTTAGGTTCTTATATTTTAGAATACCGGAGATTTTCTAGATAGATAATGTTTTCTCTGATTGCTTTGGGTTGTCCTTTATGAAATTTTGGTTTCTGAAAAAAAATAATTTAAAAATGGTATTTAAATGATAAGCAATTTAGGAAATAATGTTATATACCAATCACTTTAAATTGAGTTATATATTCATATAAATGTATCTTTAGATATTTCTTGATCAAGTATTTCGACGAAAAGTACTTTACATTAGTTTTCTCATATATACGACACTTCAAACATGATAAATTTTGAGAGGAAAATGTAACCTAAACTTTTGGACTAGGACGTGGATCTAATAAGCTATTTTTGACTTAAAATGTCCTTGTCTCCCCAAAAGCACCTTTTTTTTAAGTAGTTTTGAGATGGCATTTTAGATTGAAATTTTGTCATTCTTTTTCTAAAGAGACATGTCTGTTTATCAAAATTTTCTCTTTTTTCAAAAGGGTATGGTAAGATTTCAAAAACATCTTTTGAACAAGAAAAAAAAAAGTAAATCAAAATCGTTATCAAACCCGCTTAAACCAACTCAGTTTCTTTCTTTTTTTCCTTTGGATATTTTGTTTGGTGATCAGCTGGAAGAAATAAGTTCAAGAAACAACATAAGGCTAACATGGGATGGTGGAGATCAAAGCATGTCATATGGTCCACAGAATGCCCAAACTCAAGGCTTCTTCCAGCCTCTAGATTGCAATCCCACTTTGCAAATTGGGTAACCATTTCTTCCCTTTATTTTTGACAATGAGATTTAATGATTCTTTTTTTCCATTTTTGTGGGTAATTTGTTTCTTTTTTATTTGTGGTGGGTTATAATCAGGTACACTGCTGCTGTATCAGACCAGATGACAGCCTCCACTGCCCCAACTCATGCCCAACAAGTCAATGGCTTCCTCCCTGGTTGGATGCTTTGAAAACCAAAACCATTTCTCTCTCTCTATTTTGTACTTTTGCCTTTTTTTTTTACCTTTTTTTTTTCCATGCACTTTGCTACCAACCCTTTGCAAAATTGTTAATAAGCATTGTATTTTACCTTATTTTAGACCTTTATAAAAAAAGCCCAGAAAAAAAAAGAAGAAAAAAGGTGGTCCTGTGGAGGGCAATGGAAGATGGGGGAAGAAATGGAAAAAATGGAGGAAAAAAACAAAGGTTGCCCACAGACAAATTTGAAGGACTTGTTGTATCAAGAACATATGATATTTACTTGTATTATCTTTTGGAATTTTAAGATGCTTTGGGTTTTGAATTGCTTCTCCTTTTGTATTGTGGTTGCGGTTTGTGTATTTTTGGAATTAGGGATGGAATTACTTTATTGAGAAGGAGAGATCAATTGTTTCTCCCTATTTTTTTTTTTTGAACATTTTGAAAAGAGGGAGGAAGAAGTTCGATTCTTCTTTTTCGTTCACAATTTATCCGGGTGAGTTGGATCCAACCATCAACTTTTAAATATGGGAATAGGTGTCTTATCCGCTCGAACTATGCTTTGGATTGCAATGGTCTAGTTATTAAAGTTAGATTTATTAATTTTTTGTTCCCTACATTTTGGTGATGTTTTATATATATATGTTTTTTAAGTAGCTAATTGAGATCATTAACTGGCATAGAATGGATCATCTCTCAAATTAGGTAACCAACTTGGTCATGAGCCCTCGAAACATTGTATTCTTCTTTTGCTTTTAATTTTTTGAGGTTAATTTGTTCATTCCCCTTATTATTATTATCTTCTAAGACAATATTGTTTATCTTTAGCTTTAATGGTAGAATTAGTTGTGGGTCCAAGAGATAATTGATTTAATCTCAAGCTGAGAGTGAAAATGAATTGAGGGTTGAAAGATAGAAGAAAAAACTTGTAAAGTCGTGATTAACTTATGTAAGTTGTCTAAAACTTGACTAATATATAATTATCATGTAAAAATTTAACAAATTCATGAAATATGTCGTCGTTTGTCCTTGCCACATTCCTACATTTGAGAAATCGAATTCGGTGTTGGAAAATCCCTATCGACGAATAAGGTTCTTTGCCGATAAAATTTTAAGAACATAACCTATGAGTTGTAATGTATATATTGTACAACTAAAAAACACACATCACACAATATCAATATATAAGTGAATGACTTTTATTTTAAAAATTAACAAAATCTATAAAAATAAAATTAAACGAATAAGATCAATCACATAAGAGCTGATAAATCTCCTGAGCTTGACTAAATCTTTAATGATTAAAGTTAATCCAATCAATCATATTCCTAAGTTAGTTCATGTGTTTTGGGTCGAACAATCCAACCCATGAACCGATCGGATCCAATCCAGTAATGACATTGAACTCTAAATTTAATTCATAAACAATGATAGGTACCAAATACCAAACTTTCCCATTTCAAAGTGTCCTTTTCCTAAAGAATTATAGTGTTAAGATGACAAGAAATGGAATGGAATATGAAAGCAACTTGCAAAAGCACTTTTTCTTTTTTCTTTCTTTTTTTTCCCCATAGTCTAAAGGAAAGAAATGGCATTGGCTTCTACATCTACCATTCATATGCCAATTACATTACCAATATTATATTTTAATTATGAGAGATTCCCTTCAAATTTGTTCTCTTTACTTTATCCATATTGGGCAAATCATTTTCAAGTCACATGTGTAGAAAGTTAACATTATTTCCCCTCCTTTTTTTTTTAATGTAATATAAGGGAATTTTAACATTAAGAAAAAGGAAGAGAGAGACAATATTATATCATGAAAAAAATATATTCTTTTTTGACTTTACCTTCTTTTTAAATACTAAAACTTAAGATTTGTTGGTCTCATGTTTCGACATTTATAGGAACTAAGCAATTAGCTGGTGTAAATCTATGAGTATTTGTTGAATATATATAGTATAAGTTCAAGTTATAAATAGTATTTGGAGTTTAGTGGCGTGTTATTAAAACTCCAAGATATATATATTTATTTTATTAAAGAATAAGTGTTTATCCAACTACTTATCACCACGATTGAAATTAAATTGACAATAAATTCAGAAGATGAATGAATAATAAGAGAGAAAAAATAGAATAAATAATTGTCAAATTTTTAATGGCGGTAAGTTACCTAAATATCCTATTTTTTATGTTAAATAACTTCATTGGTTCAGAATTCTTAATGAATTAATATAATGAAGTAAAGCAATATTGTGATTTTAATTAATGGTGAATTGGACAATTTGATACCTATTAGCTTTGAAATTCTGTTTACTCACTTTAAATTGGGTATCCGTTTTTCTTTTGTGCTAGAATTATATTTCTACACCAATAAAAAGTTATTTAGATGTCTCAATGTTTCTTATAATTCTTTTGAGCAATCAATCCAATAATCTTTTTTTTGTTTTTAATTGTTTGTAAGAACCATGCTCGTGAAGAAATTTCCCAGTTGCAAGTACAAAATTTTGAAATAGAAATAGTAAAGTAAATTGATTAAATTGCAAAGTCAAAAATTGTAAATAACTTTTGCAACCATATGTTAGGAAAGATTTTTTTTTTTTTGATAGATTTAGTATTTAACATTTTTTTTAAAATAACAATTTAATTTGAATACTTTAATTTATAAGAAAATTAAATTACGTAAAAATTCTAATAACTCTAAACATAACTCAAAGTAATCAAGGTATTAATAATCTCCTTTAAAAATAGTAAGTTTGAATCTTGAACTTCGGTATTTGAATTATAATATTTCAGAAAATAAAATAGAATTTTTTTTATTAATTAAGATGACATAGAACTTAAATTATTTTTTTCATTATATTCATATATGTGACATTTTGATATGATAATGTATAACTATTCATAATAAAATGAAATAAATGTTTTTATTATTTGACCATCTTATTCTTAAAAAAAGGAAAATTTGGAATTTTTAACTATATATTTAGTTAGTAACAATATTTCTTCTTTAGAATATTATTATAATATTTATTAGATTTAAATACTATTTTCTATCCCTATACTTTTTACTCTGGTTCGTTTTGATCTCTATACATTTGAAATGTTAATTTTGGTCCTTGTACTTTCAACGGTTCATTTTAGTCATGGTATTATCAGAACATCTCTTTTGGTCAATATACTTTAAAAGTGACTAATTTTGTCCCTATTGGTAAAATTTTAACTTAAAAATTTTATACACAATTGAAACATTTTAATATAAATTTATGGCTACATTTTAAGAAATGTAATTGAAGTGTCATGCTAAAATTATAATCAAAAGAAATGAGACAGAAATAAAAAGGACCAAAAGGGTCACTTTTTTTAAAATACAGAGACTAAAATAGACGTTTTAAAAAATATATAAATCAAAATAAACCAAAACTAAAAATCGAACCAAAATAATATTTAACCTTATTTGTTATTTATTTACTCATGAAGTTTATGTTCAACACCTAAATGTTAAAGGTATTGGATAATTACTTCTCCATATTACAACATTATCAATTTTTTAAAAGTTTCATTTTTTTTCCCTTTGAGTATAACACTTGAAGTAGGAATACAAATTCATAATCTTTTGGTTAGAGATATGTGTCTTAACCACTTGAACAGTTTGGTTTCTATATTCCATTTAAATGCCTCTTCTATTGCATTACAATGGCATATGTCCATGGACAATAAATATTAATGTTCTTTACATTATACATTTAATTAATAATATTTTCAAACTAAAGAAAAAAGGAAGAAAAAAAAAAAGAATCTTATGATTACGTGTACTAGGACTAAATTTTGGGCAAAATTCTTTAGATCCAACGTTGGACAAGAAACCAAATGAATGGGAAAATGGTAGAAATCATTGTACCAAAATACTTTATTATATATATATATATAATTCTTAGATTTATGGAGCACCACCATCCTTCAAATTGTCCTCTCATTCAAACCTCAATAATTTTGAGTATAAACTTTAGTCTCCTAAATTTGAGACAATATTGCAGAATTTCAGATGAACGGATGCTGGATAGGGCTCTGTCTGATATTTCGTTAAACGATACCAATATCGTTTTTTTTTTCACAAAGTTTTTCAAAAAAACCAAAAGAAAAATCATTCCTTCTCGATAGTGCGAAAAGAAAAAGGTTCCCAATGAATTTGGAAAATACTATACAAGATCGAATAGTACTAAATTGTTATATAGTAATCCGTTAGGATTCCATTTTTAGTGGTCCAATTGATCAATTATTCAATAAATACCTTTATTTTCATTAAAAGTAATAATTTTAGTAGTACGATTAATAAGGGACCACTTTGGTAAAGAGCATTCAACATTAATTAATTTTTTTACACTAATATCAATATCATTAAAAGCAAGATAATCCCATTAACCAAAGTCTTCTGGAAATTATCACGTAGGATGGACCACAAAACACACCTGCTTTTTAAATTTTCTATTGAATGGCAAGAATATAATCATTTTATTTTGACAAAAAAATAAAAGAAAAGAAAAATAATATAATTATTTTTCATCCAACTGTCTAATTTTAGGTTGGTTTAAATATTATTTTAGTCCGTATAATTTAAAAAAATTTATTTTTGGTCTCTATACTTTCAACTTTTGGTTATTTTAATCCCTTTAATTTTGAAAGGTTCTATTTGATCCTAAAAGTGATATTTTGACCATTCATTTTTATTTTTATCTCATTTGGTTCAATCAAAATTTTAATATAATGGTTCTTTTACTAAATTTATTGAAATGTAATCATAAATTTGTATGAAAAGAATTTCATTGGGTATAAAACTTTGTGTTAAAATTTTGCAAATAGAGATCAAAATGGTCACTTCTAAAAAATACAAGGACAAAAACATACATTTTGAGAGTACATGGACTAAAATGAACAAAAATTGAAATTATATGAACTAAAAAAACATTTCCAAAATAGTTTTTAAACCATTTCACGGTAGATAAACTTCTTATCTTATCATGCATATTAACTTTTTATGTTTATCCTATTTTGGTCTTTAAAACTGTTATATATTTTGTTTATAAAAATAATCATTTTATCCTTTGTAATTCTTAATAACTTATTTTGTTTTTATTTTTTTTATTTCTATTTTATGATTTTTATAAAGAAAAAATTATGTTGAGTAATTATTTCTTGATTCTCGTTATTTCTTTGAGTAGAAGCGGGCTTTTGGTATTTCAAATTTATCGTTCCCTCGAACTTTAAATCAAAAAAATCAAAGTTAGTTTTACATTAAGCTTATTTTAAAATAATATTCAAAATTATGATGTCATATCTTTCTATATATTTATTGTGCATTTTATAATTCAAAAATTTTACATTAATGTGTTTGTTCATG